TAAAAAGGGCATGTGTTGACAAGAAATAGATCTATTGCTTTAAATTCATCTTGCAAGTGGTTTTCATTGAAATAGCAGGAAACTAATGTCCTTTTAAAACTTTATTAAAATCATCTGGATATACTCAACCTAATAAAAGCTGAGTACACGGCTGCTGGACTTCCTGTAGCTTTAGATATGGAGCAAAAAGAGGCTTAAGTGATACCCTACATCTGAAATTGTGGAGAAAGGTATGTTACTGCACTAAGAAAATATGTCCTTTACGAAGCAGATTCACAAATCCCATCTCTGCTCCATTTGTGTTGGCGTGACTTTTTGAATGTCTTTGGCATTCTGTCCCACGTGGTCTCTTCATTTCTCTGTGTGTTTACATACATTAGTGCTATTTTACTGGGGCTGCTGCCTTGTCTAGTTCAGTCTAAGATATTTCACCTCTCCACCCAAGAAAGGTCAATTCTGAAGCGAACCTTTACAAAGAGCTGTATCACCTTGAGCTTAAGAATCATTTCGATTTTCTCTTCCAAAGAGGCAAGTTGAGCCTTCGTCATAAATGAATCCTATTTAATCTAGCCGTTTTCATGATTAGTTGCAAACGGGAGCTCTGGGAGGGATGGGGCAGCCATATTTAATGAGGTCACTCAGGTGGCCAGGCCCCTTTCTGGGGCACTGTGACCCTTTCCTAACTTTTGGCAAAAGAATGGTCAAATAATTTGCACCCTGTTTTTGAGTTACTTTAGAAAAACACCACTGTTGTTCATTAAGGATGTAAACGCATGTAAATTCACACAAACACATGCCCCACCCCCAAATCCAACATGTAAACTCGGTTACATTTGATTCCAGGGCTCGAAATGCAAAGGAAAACGCTGAACACAGTGGGGTAAAACTCCTCTGTAACAGGGCACTAGGAGGATGTCTTGAATAGCATTACTCTGGCCAACATACACAAGCTTAACATTACTTTTTGAACCTATGGCCGTGTGCTTTGAAGATGAATATTTTGCCTGTGAAAAATTAATGTTCCAGAGCGCTTACAACCATTGTTTCTTTGTGAAATGGAGTATGCAAAATGTCTTTTAAAAATGCAACCTTTTGGTGAATAGATTGCTTCTCCCCTTTTGGCTTTTACTACTAGTTGGAAAGGCCCCTAAAGAAGCGTTAAGCAGATGAGCAAATAGTTATAAAAGAGCCAACCAGGTTCACAGGAGCATGGGGATGGATGGAGCCAGTGAGCGAGACCAATTTTCATCTTTGTGTGAAACAAATAAAATGTCTTGTCTCCTATTTTCTTTTCTTGATCTTTTAAAAATGTAAAGGCTCATTGCTCTTTTCTTTGTTAGTTTTAAACAAAGAAGTCTCCTTTTGAAGGCCAAAGTAAGAAGAGTCGAGCTAAGAAGAGAGCTGGCCTGAGAGCTCTGCAAGTTATCAGGCAAATGTTATGTCTGGAGTGGAGACTAAGATAACCAAGCCTCATGGGGCCTTGGATCAATTTAATTTTGATGAATGACCAGTTTGGTAAACATTATTTACATTACTACACAAGTCAGGTCTGTTCCATTCATGTTTGAACAACCCACATAGTCTGCTCTGGAATAGCTTCTCGAGTAATCCCCACGGGCTGGCTTTCCCCACTGTTAACTCACAATTAGAAGGATAATTAGTAAAGAGGGCGCTTTGCCTTTGAACTAAAAATGAAAACATGAGCGAACAGCTCAATAATCTAGAATTGCAGCAATTCTTCAACCACAAGATCTCAAAACTATATTCTCAATGATATACAAAGGTGGTAGTATTACTTTTTAAATTTTGCTTCTGCTTTTTTCAAAAAATGACATTCTTAAAAAATATTGCAGAATTTAAAAAGAAAAAATTTTCAAGCATAGTCCTATCCCTTTAAAACAGTTTTTATCTATCTGCATTTTCTTCCACTCTTTATCCACATGTATTCGTTTATTCATTCACTCACTCATTCCCTCTTCAAGTGTTTATTAAGCACTTAATATATGTCAGTCAGTGCTTCAGGCCAGGGATCAGCAAACACTTTCTGTAATGGGCCACAGAGTAAAAGATTTAGGCTTTGAGGGCCACACGGTCTCTGTCACAACTACTCAGGTCTGCCATTGTAAGACAAAAGCAGCCACAGGCCATATGTAAACAAATAGGTCTGGTGGTGTTCCAATAAAACTTTACTGACAAAATCAAGCAATGAGTTGGATTTAGCCAACTGGCCACAGGTTGCCATACCCTGCCACAAGGCCGTGGGGCTATAGACACAAACAGAACACACAAAGTCCCATTGGACATACAATTGAGGGAGGCAGATCATAAACAGCAAACAAATGATTTCAGAGAGCAACTAGTACAATGAAGGAAAAATGTATTTCTCATGTTAGAATCATAATATACCTTTAGTTTGGTGTTCTGCTCTACTCAGTATTATTTTGTGAATGTTTTCTAAGTACCTGCACAATCTTCATTTTTACTGATGTTCCTGGCCTCAAGATCGTGCCTAGTTGGTACCCCATATTTTACTTAATCCTTCCTCTGTGCTGTATACATTTAGCTAAACCTAACTGATGAGTGTACATATGAAGGGAGAAAATAAATCAAAGTGTTCATCGTATAATAAACTTTTTCTAAATTCTTTGTTCCTGCTTTGGACAGGGAAGCCCAGAAATTCTAGCTCAGGACAAAGGCACAGGGAGGGAGTGAATGTAAAAGTGTTTGCCCTGTGCTAAGAACAGTTTTGTTAGTTTCAAGTATCCTACAGTTTCAGGGTGGTCCGGAAAATCAGGATCCAGAAGGCTAGACTATTCGGAAGAAAGGGAGCAGACAAATGGGAACCTCTTGCTTCCTGTTCAGGGCTTATGTTTTGCCACCAGGCAATAGCCCCTCACAATTTAGTCCATTGAGAACAAAATTGCTCAGAGAAAGATGCTCATCTCCAAATCCATTAAGCACTGATGGAGTGCTTAGATGCAAAACATAGTGCATGGCCCTATGTTATGGGAAGGATATACTGATGAATGTGACAAAGCCCCTTCTTTCCTGGTGGAGCCAGGGACCTGCAGGCATAGGACAGATTCTAGGCCAACTGTGTCAAGTGATAGAATATATGAGAGGTAAACTCTTGCTCCCTCTGTTCAATGTTCAGCACAGAGGAAGGGCTTTACACCCCAAGCCCCGGGAAGGGAATGCTTAGGAGCAATACTTCTCTTTCAGAAGTATTTGCTCCTCCTTTGCTCTTCCTCTTGGGTAGGTGGGATTGGAGAAGCCGGGGGATGCAGTGTTTTCTGTATTCTTTTTTCAGATACTGATAATCACAAACACATATTGGAGTTTCTCTGTGTCAGACACCAACACTTTCATTTATTCAATCCTCACCACAGTTCTATGGTAGTTCTATTATCATCCCCATCTTAAAGATGAGAAGAGTGAGTCACAGAAACACTGAGAGACTTGTATTGCTGCTTGGCTAATGAATGGTACAGCCGGGTTTTCTCATACAGTCTGACTCCATGATCCACGCTCTCAACTTCTCTGCTCTACGATTCACCTGAGGGGTGAGAGTGTTCTGCTCAGATCTTCCATGATGTAAGCACACCTGGGACAGGAACAGGGTCCCGGCCTTGCTCATAACCCCTCTGCCCCTGATGGAGGCAAAAAAGCAAGACTGATGTGCACATAGATGGATTTCCTCAGGTTATGTGTCCCAATTGCTAGATTTGGCAGAGGTGGGCAGAAAAGCGAATCCACATTCTTGAAATCGGCAATATCGGTTCTAAAACTAATATTTTCATCTCTCTTGGTTTGACTCCTGTATTATTTTCTCAAATTCTTGTTACCAACTTAGAGGAAAAAAGATGTGATTAGTTCCCATCTTAAACCTCTAACATAATATAGGTATGAATAATAGTGGTAAAAAGTGGCTAACAATAATTATGATCTAGCAGGCATTGTACTAAGGGCTTTGCGATGTGTTATCTCTTCACATCTTCACCACAATCCCAAACAAGTAGGTATTACATGTTACAGAAGAGAAAAGAGGGTTTAAATTTTAGGTTGTCAAATAGGCTTCTGATAAATAAAAGGGTAATGACTATTTAATTGGCTACATGACGTATTAATAGGCAAACCCAACACTTGATTGCAATGGTCTTTGATGTTGACATCAAATAATTCTGCTTTTCACAGAGTCACTCACAACAGTTGATATTTAATATTGTCTGGGAGCACTCAAAGGTCAAAATAACTCAGTGGTACTGGCCAGCAAACAGCAGAATGAGATTAGGTTAAGACATTTCATTTGAAAACTTCTTTGTTCTGTCCACTTCTTCTCATCTTCTTTGGCATTGCCCTAGTCAAGCCACCGTCATCTCTCACTTGTGCTATGGAAACAGCCCCCATATTGTCAACCATATATATTCTTGTCCATGCCAAATGTCTTCTCCATAATGCAGAAGCATGACCTTGCTAAAGGTCACTCTCCTTGCTAAAGGTCATCCAATTTTTCTGAGGATGAAGACCAAAATTCTCAACACACCCTTCAAAGCTCTGTAAGGTCTGGCCCGAGCGCCTCTCCAGCCCCATCTCCTCCCTCTTCCATTTCTGCACCCCATCTACACCAGTTTGCTTCAATTCCTTGGCTATCCCATACTCCTTCCTGACCTACTTATTGTTCCCTCTGGCTGAAACATCCTTCGCTATCCCAGTTTTCACATCCACAAAAACGCTTGTCTTTCAGGCTTCAGATTAAGTGTTGCTTCCTCAGAATTTCTTCCCTGCCAGCCTAGAGTAGTAGGTCTCCCTGTTAGGGGTCCTTATACCATCCCATTCCTATACTTCGTAGGACTTATCTCAATTTGTATTTAGTTGGTTTTTGCAGTTACTTGCTTTTGTCTGACTTCATCTAAAATAAAGCTTCATGAGGGCAAGATCCAAATCTGCCTTGCTCACTTCTCTATTCTCAGTGCCTAGCACAGCGTCTGGCACATACTCACCCAGTAGATACTGTTGAATCAGGGTCATCAAATGTGGTTGTGCAGGCTGTGTACTGCCTAGTTCCAGGGGCAATATCCACATAGACAATGATATCAATGGTTCTGCCTGGAGATGTGCACCACAGCAGCCCTGTATTGAATGAAAGAATGAATAAATAAATGGATTAGTAAATGAAACCATTGGTACAGAATTGTCTTATTGTCAGAAAACTATATTTTACGTCCAGTATTTCCTAAAAACTACAAAATCCCACATGGTTATATATGCCTTGCGTATATGTCACACGGAAGCAGTTATTTTGGCATTTATGTGTTCCCAATGAGATTTCTTTTGCCCTTATTTGAATTCCACATGTACTTTTTCATAATCTTGAACTTGGTCCACAACCCTCCAGGTGCCAGTATAAAGTCCCACTTTGGTTTTTAATTGTACAGGGACCTCATTTTTGACTTGCAGGTGAAAAAGAGCTGAAGCTGCATTCCATTTGTGAGTCGAAGTACGTTTTTAATATAGTATTTTTATTCAATGGGGCCCCTGAGTAATATCTGCAGTGTATTATAATATGCTGGTAAAATATATCCAATCGTCAGGAGAGGAAAAAAGTGACACCCAAAAGAAGGTTATAGGTCATGGTGCTGAGAGCTGGATTAGCTGGCACAGGAGACTTTCAGTAACTAAGTGTCTACTGGCAATAATAAAGCTCAGCTATGATGCCAATCTTCAAGTCTTGCCACACATCTACATTCTGTTTTTGATCCAGGGCTTCCCCGCAGCAGAAATTGAGCCACGATTATTACTAATACCATTTATTCATAAACTTATAAAGGGCAGTGGCTTAAAAAGTAAAATAGGGATTCTTTTGCATGCATTTGGGTTGGGTCAACTGTGGTTTCTTAGCACCAAAAATTGCTATACCATCCCCAGTACTGTCACCATTTCACTTTGTAACTCATATTCCTGCCTTCCCCAAAGAGGCTATAAGCTTCCCAAGGACAAGACCCACGCCTTGAATTTGCTTTTGTATCTGACTTACACGTCCTTGACAGTGCCTTGCACATATAGGGTTTGCAGGTCTTGATATTCATAGGATAACTGAACGAAATTACTAAACCAAATGGCTTATTTAAACCAGACTTAAAATTCCACACTGTCTCCCAAACGTCACTACATTGATTTTTCAAAGTAAGAACAGAACACAGACTTGAGCAAGTTTCTCATCTGGACTTAACATATGAGACGGTCGATGCCCTGATGTGCCACTTATAAACCCCTTCCAGAATGAAGGACTCACTCTCCCAGCTGCTGGGAGTGCTGCCAGAAGGCAACCCTTGGTTGTCAGCCCCCTTTGGGAGAAGACTGTCGACGAGAGCTGTCTTGCCCTTTCAGGGGCCGCCTCAGCCAACCAGCCAACACTGGTGTATAAAGGCCAGGCCCTCTCTCTCCAGCCCAGGACAAGGCTGTAGGGCCACTCCAGCTCCAGAGCTTCCCATGGGGTCAGCAGAGGCCTTGGTGAGAATGCAAGACAGCCCAAGTTCTCCCTCTGCCCCGTCCTGCTTCCGTCCTACTCCCATCCACAGGTGTTGATCCCAACAGCACTTCCTAATAAATCTCCTAAATGCTAATATTTGTCCCAGAGTCAGCTTCCCATGGAGCACAGCCTATAACCCATGCCTCTATGTTTCAACAGAGTTCAACACAAAGGAATCAATTCACGGACTTTTTCTCCCCATTAGAACAATCTAGTAACAAATGACATTATTATTTGAGAAAGTGAGTGGATCGTGGTAGCAGCTGCAGCAGAGGGTTGGAGTCACACTCTTGATGTAAAATACAACAGAAAGACTCTCTCATAGCCAGGAGGAGAGGCAGTGTTTTCCTACATTGCAGGGGAATGCTGCTCCCCAAACAACATTAGGAATTTAGGACATTACGGTGTGGAAACAAGCACACACTTAATTATGAGCAGTGTCATGAGTTTTTGCATTGTTTAGTTGACCTCCAGAACACTTTTTTTCTTTAATGCAGGGTTGTTTTTTGTTTTTATCTAATTCCCCAGAACATGCACTTGTAACAAGACAACTCTTTAAGAAATCTCCAAGACCTAGAGGATTAAAAAGTCATACATTTCCCCTTACAGCTATTATAACAAAATGTAACTATTGATGACACTCTAGTATAATTATATTTAATAATCTATTATAACTATTGATGAGGCTTTTGTATAGGAGTCAGCAAACTGCAGGCTGGGGGAGAAATCCAGGCCACTGCTGGCAGAATCTGGCCACATCCATTCATTTACAGATTGTCTATGGCTGCTGTCATGCTACAAGGGCAGACTTGAACAATTGTGACAGAGACCACATGGCCCACACAGTCTAACTCTTACAATTTGGCCCTTCACAGAAAGAGTTTGTTGACCTCTGTTTTAGTATATTAATATTTAGTGATTCCAATACAGTATTAAATAAGAAAATTTTGTTTTCTTATTTAGGAAAGTGACATATACAAAGAAAAGTTATCTCTGGTGACTGAGATTAGAGGTGAATTTTTGTATTTTCTGCTTTTTGCTTTTTTGTATTTTCCACAAGAAACATGCGTTGTTTTTTTAATAAGAATAATAAATGCAATTTATTGTGTATTTTGTGTTTTTTCTTCAAAACCGTTTAGAATTTTGTATTAGCTGTCTATGAAAAAACGTATTAATGTATTTCTCTAACATCCAGTTAGAAAGCAGCTCTGAATGTGTGCATATTGAAGGGCTTGTTTCACAGTACTGCCCATGTCTAAGGGAACTATGTAAACAATGCAATGTAGAGGAGTTCGTCCAGCTACTGGATCAAGCATCCCGTCGGCCGTGAGAAGTTGGAAAAAAAAGCAACAACAACAATCCTGGGTTGTTTTTGTGACAGCTGGCTCCACTGGGTAAGCTTATCCATATTATGCTAAGAAATATGGTTTATTCAGCCTCTGGTTTTTAATGCTATTTACATTTTCCCATTGATGTAGAAAAATAGCCCCCATTTTCCAAAATGAGGACATTTCTGGACTATAAAAATAACACAGTGGTCATTATAATAGGATTTGTTGTTAGTGCCTTCAATTGCGACTCCTAGCAACGCTGTGTACAGCAGAGTGGAACCCTGCCTGGTCTTTTTGCACCATCCTCTCACCTTCCGGCGCTACATCAGACAACGATGCTATTCAAAGGATTTTCATGGCCAATTTTTTCAGAAGTAGGTGGCAGGATCTTTTTTCCTAGTCTGCCTTAGTTTGGAAGCTCCGCTGAAACCTGTCCACCATGGGTGACCCTGCTGGTATTTGAAATCCCGGTGGCATAGCTTCCAGTATCACAGCAACACGCAGCTGCCACTGTATGACAACCGACAGACGGGTGGTTTGCTTCACTGACTGGGAAACAAACCCGGGCCTCGGCGGCGCAATTGCCAAATCTTAACCACTAGACCACCAGGGCTGGCTCTATAATAATATAACTAATCATTTTTGACCAATTTTCTTAACAAATAGCGAGCCTCACGCTCAGTGCTTTTTACGAGCATCCTCTCAACAAACAGGTGAGAAATACTCTCTCAGCCTATTTTTCAGATGAGGAAACGGAACCTCAGGCAAGTTGAATAGGTGGCCAAAGAGTCACCAGCTAACACGTGGCTTAGCCAGAAGTCCAGCTGCCTCTGACTCCAGAATTCTGAGTCCTTGCTCACCAAGCTGTGCTGTCTCCTGACCATTTGCATGTTCCAAAACATGATACATCCCCACCCCCATCTCGGCAGAATAAATATCTGCAGAATGACCAAAAGACTGTGCTCTTTAGTCCATTAAACAAGCACTAGCTGGCGGAAGGGGCAATGGTGGCATTAGGAAGTATTGGGAGATCATGATTTCATACATCAAATTATTTGGGGACAGTATTTTTAGAGTTGATATAAAGCAGTAGCAGACGATTTCTATATAATACCAAAACACTTCCTATTTTAAACAGCAATTTTAGGAAGCTTTTTTTGTATAAATATATTGTAAGTCCAAATTGATTTCTTCATTCAAATAAATATTAAATTTTGTATAGAAGTCATATTTGCTTAACCTGATAGTACATATTAATGTCATATAGAAAAATATCAGAATATGATTTATATTTCCATTTTCTTCCACTCTCTTAGGCATTTTTAGAGTGCTATGCCTTTGCCCACTGGAAACCTGGGGCTTTTTTCACTTTTTGGATTAAAGTGAGTAGTGACCATAGACCTGTGTAGACGCTGGAAAACGTATCTATTCGTAATTGTTCCTCTCCTATTACTGAATCAAAACAGAATGAGTCTTTGACATTTTGAAATTAATACTACTTAGCCACACCAAATGAAAAGTCAATTATTGCCAAGTCCTTCCATTATGCAGTAATATAAAGAGAAAATAAAATTTGGGTTTGGAACTGAAATTTAAAAGTTGACTGTTTCCCCTCAAATGTGGCAATTTGTGTTTCCATTTAAAAACACTAACAGATAAATAAAAACAGAATATATGTTTAAACCCTTTCAAGTGCCAGGCTTGACAAAACGCCGGAAAAGTATGTATTCTATCATTATTTCCATTTGACAGAAGAAAGCCTGAGGTTCAGAGAGGTCAGCAAACTTGCCCAAGGTCACACAGCCATAAATGAGCAAAGCTGGAATGCCAATTCAAGTATATTCTAGGGCAGAATTTCTCAACTTCAGCACTATTGACATTTTGGACTGCATAATCCTCTGTTGTGGGGGCTGTCTTGGGCATTGTAGGATGGTTAGCAGCATCCTTGGCCTCTACTTATTAGTTGCCAGTAGCACCTCCCTACCGACAAGTTATAACCATCAAAAACATCTCCAGACATTGCCACATTTCCCCGGAGAGGGCAAAATCACCCCTGATTTAGAACCACTGCCCTAAGCTCCTGTCTTAACCACTATGCTTTTCTGCCTGCCTTTCAATTTAGGGCAAGGTCACCCTTGCAGAATGGGCCCCCAGCAAGCCTGTCACAGTCTATGCACATCTGGGCCTCAGCCAATTTAGTCTCTCCTTCATTTTACTTGGGAAGGAAATGCCGGGCGCCCACAATCTGGGGTGGTTTGGGATATGTA